TAAGAACTGGACTGCTATTTGCAAGGTCAGTGGTTCAAACCCACCAGCTGCTCCTTGGAAACTCTAGATACAGGGTCACTATGAGTTAGAACCAACTTGATAGTACTTAACAACAATCACTATTCTAGCCCTGGTACAGTGCTGTAGGATAAAGTACTGTTAACGGAAAGGTCAGCAGTTCAAACCCACCAGCTGCTCTCAGAAACTCCACAGGGTCGCTGTGAGTCGGAACCAACTCGATGACACAAACAATAACAAAAGCACTATCCTAGATACTTTGCATACATTTGCATATTGAATCTTCAGAACAACTCTGTGAAGTGCGTATATTATTGTCATCATTCCCATTTTACAGATTAGACGACTTAAGGCTCATCATGGTGAGAACAACTTGTTCTAGGGCCACACTCTCAGAGCTGCACTCTCAGCTAAATTACATTGTAAGATCGGTGATGCCAAAGACTCCTCCATTCAAAGCTGTTTCTATTCCTGCACTGTGACCACCCCCGCTTCCCTCCAAATTATCAGTAAAGTCTTTTGTGCTCAAAAATGAGTGTGGGATGGACTGTTTTGTGGGGTTTGAAGAGGAGCTGGATTGTACAATGAGGTGGTAAGTGCCAAAGACTAGCTGTGGGGAAGCAGGGACCCAGGGGCTGAGATGGCCACGGGAGTAGGCAGCCCCCTTGGTAAAGCACAAGCACTCTGCAACGCTTGATAGAAACACTTAGTGTAAAAAGAGGGCTACAAGCTTGCCAAAACTGGAAGTACACTATGTTTCAGAGGTAACTTTGCAAAGCTTCATACTCATGAACCCCTTAGAAAGAGATTGTTACACAGTCTCCAGAGCATGCTTAGCTGGGCAGGTGGGCTCCTGGGCGATTTTTCTTGGTTCTAGGAGATCTGTGGACTCCTTTTGATACGTAGGTCACTTCTGTTTGAGCGGGGACTCCTGTGCAAATGCTGACCTCAACTCAAAGTAGCAGTAGTTTCCTTGTGGCCCTCAGCGTATAGCAGGTTTGTATTCTAACATGTTATGTGGATGACCTGCTGCTCTCAGGCTTGGAGGACTCTTGGAGAGGACTGGAGATACCATATCTATGCCATGTCTATGTCCCCTGAGTATCTGCACAGGGCACGATGCATGGAAAAGCTTAGAAAACGCTGATGAGTAAATGACTGTCACCAATTGCTTAAGAACTGCTTTACTCTTAAGTATTTATTGTATATTCTCTTACGTTGCTGGTCAAGACAGTGGATTAAGGTGCTATGGGAAACTTTCCCTCCATCAGAGGAATGCTGGATAAAAAATAATCACTTGAAATAATATAGAGCCACGGTGGAAAACAAAAGGGAGACCTCCAGCTTGTAGTGGGGAAGCAAGAGATGGGGCTGAAAGACCCATGGAGGGGCTGCGGCTGGAGTTTAGCCCCTGGGGTGGGGGTTGGGGGGACAGGCAAAGAAGGCACTGCATGCAGGGTGAGTTAACAGGAGGAGATTCTCCAGAAGACATCAGAGCCTCAAGGGGCCTTATCCATCAACAAAGATGAGAAACACCCATTGACCTTGGGATACTGCGCCCAGGTAAGGAACTCAAATCCCCACTGCATGTGAAGTTAGCAAAACTAATTTTAAAACCAGTGTAGATTCAGATCTTAGTTGAGGCAGATGGGAAACTACTCTGCAAGGAACTCCACAACCCTGGCCACTTAAGGCTCCTGCCTTCTGCCAAAGATGAGCTCACAAATATTACAGAGCACACCAGGACCTTGTCATCACAAGAGACAGCAGATGTAGTGAACTGGAGGAAGCTCAGATTTCAGAGCAATCCAAGAGCTTGGAAAATACGTTATAACTGTTTAAAAAGATAAAGAATTGGATTAAACCCAGGATTAAAAAAAAACATAGAAAATTCATTACGGGAGATAACAGAGACAGGGAAAGAACATCTAATTCAGAGTTAAGAAATGCAGCTTTGAAAAAAATAAGTCAAATTTTGGCTATGTGATCTGGGTCAAATCACTCCCGTCTCCAAGTCTCCATTTCCTCATTTGAAAACTGGTAACATAATACGACCAACCTCAGAGAGTTGCTCAAAGGTCAGAATGAGTCCATTTCTGTGAAAATGTTTGGAGAACTGAAAGATGCTAGAAAAGTATGGTCATTCATTCTAACTGAATGGCTTCAAGCTGCTGTCCCCTCACTGCACTCTCCTTAACCCAAAGTCACATCACCAGAGCAACTGGAGGCATTCCAGAGTGAAGTCACTTAAGGGGCGTAGTGTGGCTCTTCTCTTCAGGGTGTGGGGCCTCTTATTCCAAGTAATTCCTCCAAACTGTAGGCCTCAACTGGCCCAGCTGCAGGGGAGGAAGATGATTCAACTCAACCCTTAGGGAGCAGCTGAGTTCCAGGTATATAAAATGCAAAAGAGGAGGCAACATCATCTCTCCACCTGTAAAATGTCATATAGGGAAGCTGGCTTGCAGAATATGCATTTAGGACATTTAAATGAATAAATATTTTTTTGTTTTGTATGTATACATCAAATATTTTTGTTTTGTTCATTTGTGAAGTAAAAGATGTAAAAGGGAAGCCACAGGGAGGAAGTAGGATAACTGTTCTTGCAGGGAGGGGATTGTAATCATTGAGGTGAAATAAAGCGTATAATTTGTTGAATGTAAAGCAGATGGTCTTGTCTGTTAACTTTCACTCAATTCACAATAAAAAGCAAAACAAAACAAAACTTGTCCTACAGACATTTCTGATGTGGGGAACCCAGAAAGACTTGAGCATGCTACTAAACCCAGCCTGGGTACATGGCTTTGGGGCTTTTGGGCTGGGGTTTGAAGCCTGGCTGGACATGTACCTGGCTATGCCCATACTGGTAAATTGCTTCCTCTATGGCCTTGGTTTTCTCAGCTGTAAAATGCAGAGAATACTTTTCTTTTATGGTAGTTTAGAAGCAATGGTGCAGCACTATAGGATAAATGCTGGACTATATAGAGGTTCAACCCCTCTCACCCCTCAGCCACTCCTCAGAAACCCTATACAGGGTTGCTATGAGTCAGAACTGACTCAAAAGCACTTAACAACATGAGGTAACTTAGATGAGCTGCCTAGCACTATGCTGGTTCACAGTTAATACCCAATAACGGCCTGGGGCTATTTTGTGCCTTCTCCTTTCCTTCCTTTAATGAGGGAGAGTTTTAGGGCAAATCAATTCTTAAACTTATGCCTCCTGGGGCTGGACACATTTTTACAGGGCTAGTTACTGTGTGGAGTCCTGGTGTGGTGCTGTGGGTTAATGCACTGGACTGCAAGGTCGGTTTGAACCACAGGGTTGGCAGTTCAAGCTCACAAGCCACTCCTTGGAAACCCTATACAGAGTGGCTAGGAGTTGGAACCGACTCAATGGCAATTGAAACTCAATGACACTTAACAAAAACATATCAATGTTTATAGTTACTCTTAAAATCATGTTATGAAGGATCGCCTGTTATATTAAAGGAAAATAAGAGCAAACCCTTTAGTCCTCCTCTTGGAGAAAGTTCCAAGGCCAGACATGGTTTCCAAGCCAGCCAGCACTGCTCTTTGGATGATCAGCTATACAAACAGGATATGACTCTTCAAACACTTGGAGCTGCAGGAGGCTGGCCCAGTGTCTGCCTCCACAAGAGGCCTCTGTCCAGTCTTCTCATCTCCCAGCTGTGACAGTCTCAAAAGTGAAGGACATAGTCCCTGCTCTGAGGAGCTAGGGTCAAAGCTACCTTTGGCTGCCCTGCCCCCGCAGCCAGGGTCAGACCACCTTCCTTCCACTCAGGCTGGAAGAAGGACAACAGCCCCTCTGGCTTCCTGTTCCCTCCTCACATTTTATTCATAACTATAGCCAGGATTTTTTTTTTTTTTGTTCCCTTGAAATGTAAATCTGATCTTGTCATCCTTTGCTTAAAACTTTTCTGTGGCTTTCCACTATTCTTGACACTGAAATCCTAGCTGCAAGCTTCAAGGCCTGAACAGCCTGGCCTTTGCTTGCCCCTGCAGCTTTATCCCTGCAACACTGTGTTCTGTTAGTGCCTGGACTAAGCACCCCCTGCCTCTTTTTCACTAACACACTCTCCTTTTCCTTTCCAGGGGCCTACCTTGCCAGGCAATAGCCCATCATCAGCTCTCAGCTAAGATATCACGGGCGCTGGTATCTCTCCTAGAGGCCCTGTCCCTGTCCTCAGCATTCATCCAGCCTGCAAGGATACACTTATTCAGTGACAAGCTCATAGATACCTAACACCTGCCCCACTCAACGGGTGGCTGCCCAAAGGTAGGAATTGGTCTTGTTCAAATTCATATCTTGGTGCAGCAGAGACAGACCAGGTACTCAGTAAGTATAGAAGTCAGCTAGGCAGGCAGGTTTGTGGTACAAAAGGGAGAAGGAGCAGCTGTTTGCTACGGCAGGCAGGGATTCCAATTTATGTTTTGCAGAAGAGGAGACTTAGCCTTGAAGGGGAGGAGTAATCTGCCTAAGGTCATATATCCTTCCAGGATTTTAACCTTGGTCCCAAGTCCAGGTTCCTGCCTTGGTGTAAACAACCATCTAGCATAAGGGATCATTCTCAGCCTGTCTCCTCATCTGTCAAATGGGGCACATAATGCTCATCTGTGCCCAATGACTGCTAGCCATCATCATGGTTATTATTTTGTTGGTCCAATCAATGAACAAACAAGAATTAATATATTCAGTGTCAATCTATGAATGAGCAATTGGTGGATGAACAGGTGGGAGGATGGATGGATGAATGGGTAGAGAACACGGATGACTTAAGGAATGGAAGAACCCCACCTAATGAATGGAAGAACACATAAACAATGAACACAGGTACAAATGAGGTGGGGAGTGGGTGCAGGAGGATGAGTTGGGCAGGGAGCTGGCATGAACACCAGAGTATAGGGAGAACAGAATTTAACATTGGTGATCAGATCACTGACCCAGGAACCACGCCGCGGCTCACCTGTAGCACTGCAGCTCTGCCTCCAGCCGCCGCACCCAGAGCTGCAGGCCCGGTACCTGCTGCGCCAGCGCCTCGAGCTCTCGCACGCGGCACAGGCTGTGCAGCACGGCCTGCCGGGCATCTTCTGCGCGCTGCCGCACCTCGGCCTGGCCCCTGCGCAGTCGCCCCTCGCGGGCCTCCGCTGCAGCTAATGCGCCCCTAGCCTGCTGCAGCTCCCGCGCCGTCTCCTGCGGCCCACGGCACCCTTCCTGGAGGGTGCCTGCCTGGCTCTTCCAGAGGCCGACCTGCAGGGACAGGGCAGCAAGGGGCAGGAAGTGAACGGTCATTCGCAGATGTACAACATCAGGATAAGGAGTCACCAGTTCCATGTACCCCAAAGCACTGATATAATGGTGCACATTCCCTGCTCGGTGTTACCAGAATAAGACGCTGCAGTAAGGGGTTGTTGTTGTTAAGTGCCTTAGTGTGTGTTCCGACTCATAGATATCTTGTATGGGGTTTCTGAGGAGCGGCTGATGAGTTTGAACTGCTGACCTTGCAGATAGCAGCACTACACCAGGACTCCCCATAAGGACTTGGAATGTATGAATTCATTCCTCAGAAGTACCCTAATGAGGCAGGAGTTCTAAATATCTCCGTTGTTATGGATGAGAAAATTGAGTCACAAATCCATAATCTGTTCTTTACATTGTACTTTTGCCCCCCCCCCCAAACTTCCTGACTCTTCTTCCCAATTCCTATCACTTAACCTTCCATGGCTCCTTCATCCCCCAAACTTAGAACAGTCTAAAACCTCAAAGGCAGGCCCTCTCTAGACTGTTCACTAGACTACAAGCTCTGTAAGGGTACAGTTTTGTCTGTCTTGTTCATAGCCATACCACATCTCCTAAAACAAGCCTGGGACATAGTAGGTGCTCAATAAATGCCTGGCCAATAATTGATCTTGCAGTTAGTTTCATTACTTGTGCTAATACTATGAGAGTACTCTCCGAGCTCATGTGTATCCCGTGCCTATCCTTCACTTCCACAAACAAGACCATTGAGAACAGTACCTTGCAGTACTTCCGCTGTCCCTTGGCGCTAGGTGGCTGTGCCAAGCAGGGGCTAAGACAATGTTAGTTTCCTTCTGGACTGTAAACCCCTTTGATCCTTTTCCTGTTTGTATGAGTGCTCCAGCATCATCCCAGGCACGTGGCTGGGCACAATGCCTAGTGTCAGTGGAGTGATCAAAGATGTGGGGGCTGAGTCAATCGTGCAGGGAGTACTTTCTTCTCAGAACCCTAGAGCAGGTCTAACCCCAAGGCCCAATCCAAAGTGTTAGTCACACTAGTTCTCACCTGGGCACCCTCAGGTGGTCCCATAAGTATTTGGTGAATAATGAAAGAGCTGCAGTCTATGACATTAAGCTGGCGCTCCTTAAGGCTGGACCCAGGGCCTTCCTCACAACTGTCTCCTCACAGACGCCTGGCACCAAGGACTAAAGATACTTATTAAATGACTGACTACGTAAAATGACCAGATTTCCTAGGAAGGCTCAACAAAGCTATAAGGGGAAAGAGAAGATGGGGGTAGGAGTGGTGTGGGATGGTATCTGACTCGTAGTGGGGTTTCAGGGCTAGTAGGATGGGTGGGAACAAGAGCGTTGTAACACTGTTGGGTAAGCACTGGACTTCTGACTAGAATCGGCTGTTCGAGCCCATAAGCCGCCCTGTGAGAGAAAGATAAAGCTTTCTGCTCCTTTAAAGATTTACAGCCTTAGGTTCACTATGAGTGGAAACAGATTCCATGGCACTTAACAGCAACAACCTGTGTGGGAATAGGGGAGGGATAATGTGGGTTGAAATGGGATGAGGTGGGTGGAGGTGGGTCTGGTGGGAGGAGACTGAAGCCGGCCCCTCTCCTTGTCCTGGGTCCTTGTGGCTCCTTGGCCAGCCAGCTTGCTCAGACCCTGGTCCCCGACCCTGGCGTCGCACCTGTAGCGCTAGGCAGCGTGCGTCACTACTCTGCAGCGCAGCGCGCAGATCCTCCACGAGCTCTCGAAGGCTGCTGTTCTCTTCCTCAAGCCTCGCCACCCGCTCGCCGTCTGGGCCGCCGTCGCAGCCAGACGCGTGGGGCGGGCGGTTGCGGCGGCGGCGCGGGCGGCGCAGGCGGATTTGCGTCTCTATGTGCTCGCTGAGCGCGCCGCGGGGCAGTCGGGGTCCCGCGCGGGTGCCGAAGTAGCCGCAGAGGCGAGCGTGGAACTGGCGGAAGGTAAGTTCAGAAGGTTCGGCGCACAGCGCCAAGCGTGCTTCCTCTTCGGCGTCCACGTCCCTGTCGACGGCCTCCCCAGCAGCCGCGTCCCCCGCATTCCCGTTCCCAGCGGCCTCAGTGGAGGCGACTGTCCCTTCGGTGCGCAGCCCCAGCACGGCACAGAGCGCACGGAAGTCCGCGCGCGATAGGCGACCAGCGCCGCGGCTGTCCAGGTGGTGGAAGACCTCTTGAAGGTACTGGTCTAAGCCGGTTGCCAGCACCACAATCTCGTTCTCCACGCCGCGATCCAGCCCATAGTGGTGCGCCAGGGCGCTCAGCAGCCACTGAGTTCGCCGCGCCGGCCGCCGGTACGGGTCGCTCGACGCGCCCTCCATGACGGTCTCCACGTCCGAGCAGCCGCTCCGATCGGCCGCCTGTGTCGCGCGTCCTCCCTCCTGTCCTTCTTCTCTACCACTAACAGGGGCGGCCCTAGAGTCCCTCGAAAGGAGGGGCTTAGCAGCCACCGGCTAATTACAGCAGTGCTGGGGGCTGCGTCTAGCAGTTGGTCTGGCCCTGTAGGAAGTCTGTGCCCCGCCCCCCCACCTGGTTTAGGGAGGATTGGAGCGGGTCCCTTGAGACCCTTACACCTCCCACGGTGCTACCAAAGCCGGTAGTCCCTTCTGCTGCTTCCCGAACTTTCTTTCTCTTTATTCATAACTCCCCAACGCCTCACGTTGCAGGGGCTACTTCCCCCACCCCCTCTCAGGTTCATCTGCTTTCAGCTCCCCCACCTTCCGTCCCAGATGAAAGTGTAGGGTAGAAAGCTTGAGAGGTACTGAGAGGTGATGGCCTTTAAAGGTTGCTGGGGCATCACTGCACACCCGCTTGCCAGAAAGTCTTTCCAGGGTTAGCTTTTTAAAGCTTGGGTGTTTTTTGCCACACCCCCAAGGAAACGGATTGATTTCTCAACTGATGAGCTGCTCAACGTCAAATTGCAAAATGGAGAATGATTACATTATATTATTGAAAAGCAGTCAGTCCAATGTCAGCCAGACCACTAAGAACCATAGACAAGTTAACACATAATATTAACCACCACAAAGCGTGTGGAGAAGCCCCATTCTTTATATATTAGATTCTGCATCCCCAGATCCACTATTATGGATTAAATTATATCTTTAGAGAAACTTTGTTCAGGTCCTAACCCTGTGTCTGGGAATGTGTGGAAATAGAGTTTTTCTAAAACACTGAACTATAAACCAAAAGGTTGGCAGTTCAAACCCACCCAGAGATGCCTGGGAAGACAGACCTGTTGATATGCTTCCGAAAGATCACTTGAGTACCCCGGGGATCACTTCTACTATGCACTTAAGAAGTTGCCATGTGTCACAATCAACACTATAGCTACTAATAACAGCATTGTTAAACAAGGACATGCAGTTCTAATCCCAATTCCTTCAGATTGGTGCTTTATAAATTTTATATAAAAAAATTTGCATACACAGCTGAAGATAGTATGTGAAGATGGGTCGACAAGTAAAGGAACTCCAGAAAACTCTCTAGGCTACAGAAGTTGAAAGAGACAAGGAAGAATCTTCCCCTAGAGAGAAAGAGAAAGAGCATAGCCTCGCAGCCCCCTGAATTTGGATTTCTGGCTTCCAAACTGTAAAATAATACATTCCAGCCCTTCAAAGGGTTGTGGCAACTCTAGCAAACTAAGACACCCACTTCTCATTCCACATGTTTGCACACTGGATGATGCAGAAGGGTCAAGACACCTTAATGATCTGAGGTGGATGGACATCTCTTCTCAAAGCTGTGTGTATTTGGAGTGATTGGATTGCCCAGAAAGTGGTGGTCTCTGGTCTGGCAGGGGCTGGGGGGTGGGGAGGGAATGGGGGACGGATGTAATTTGATGATGGGACCTGAATTGTATCCTCCAACTAGGGTTAGACTAACACATAGGCCAATGTGTTGCAGTTCGGCCAACATTTCCTTTGCTGCCTTAAAACCCATTTCTGGAAGATGAAAGAAAAAGAACTTCTCAGATGTGTGTTAGGCTGTTTTTCACAAGAGTGGTGTAGAGGCGTGGTATGTTAACTGCCCTGGGAATGCTTCCCCTGATGAGAGCATGTCATGGGGACCAGGACGCAGACTCTTTTCTCTTCAACAGTCTGACTTTAGCATGCGCAGAATTTTGTATAATGTACACCTTTATGATTTTTTAAGTGTTTGTTTCTGGAGTTTGAAAAGCAGTTAAATTCTAAAGGAACCTTTCTGGTAGTTGCTGCTGTTAAGTGCTGTGAAGTTGGTTCCAACTCTAAGCAACCCTATAAAGAGGAGCAGCTGGTGGGTTTGAAGTGCTGACCTTGCAGTTAGTTAGCAACAGTCCAGTGCTTATTATCCTACAGCACCACGCAAAGGCTCAGTAAATATGGGGAGGTGCTTTGCTTTCTTGTCCCAGTCTTCTACATTCTGTCTCTGCTCCAGTGCCCCAGAATTAGCACTGTCTTTTTGTCAAATTCTTACTTGAAAGGAGGAAGGAATTAGATCCTCTTGCCTGAAAGAAAGGAGATGGATCCTGCTTCCTAACTACCCTTGGTTTTGAATGATAGCATTTTACATCTGTTTCATTTCCTTGCCTCATTGTTTACAACGGTGAAAAATTGGAGACAAAATTTTTCTTTCTCACTAGGAGAAAGGAGCAAAAACTTGGGAATGTTTCATGCAGTTGTTAAAGCCAGTGCACTAGATCCTACCACATATAAACTTTATCCATGATCTTTTAATCCTCTTTGCCATGAACTTTTTGAAGCCCCCTCATAGATCAGCTGGGAGAAACACCAAAGAGGAATGGAAACAATGAATTGCAACATATTATGTACAGCATTAATACTTTCTTGTAGCAATAACAGTGGTTGTTAAGTGCTATCAAGTCGATTCCGACTCATAATGACCCTGTGTAGGGTTTCCAAGGAGTAGCTGGTGAGCTTAAGAAAGACTTTCCAAAGAACCTTTAGTTTTCTATAACATTTCCCTTTCTGACAAGGTGATGGTTTTTCTCTCTCTCTTTTTTCTTAGGGGAGGATGCATTATATATATTTAAAAATGTTTCCTTGTGAATTATGTGATAGTTTACATGGGAGAACATTAGCTTTACATTCATCCTATCGTATATCGTTTCATTGGCATGGTTACTGTCCCCTCCATGCATCGTCAACCAACCAAAGGGTATATACACTACAAGCCTGCAAACCCGGTCATCAGCACACAGCCCCTCTCCCTCTCTGGGTCTAAAGTCCCCAGCCGCTTCCATCTCTCCACGGCATCATCTCTGCCTCCATCTCTGTGCACTATATTTTTAATAGCTTTACTGATACATATTTTATTTGAAGTTACCCACTTATATGTACTGATATATAATTTATACAAAGTTAACCCATTTACAGCATATAAACCAATCGTTTTTAGTATATTTATAGAGGGGTGCAGCCAACATCACAGTGTAATTATAGAACATTTTAAAACCTTGTACTTATTGGCAGTCATTTCCCAACCCCCTCCACCCTTCCCCCCACCTTCATTCCTAGGTAACTATTTCCTATGTCTGTGGATTTGCCTATCATGGACATTCCATATAAATGGAATCATACAATACATGGCCTTCTGTGGCTGGCTGACTGGGTTAAACAAACAAACACATGCTTTTAAGATTCATCCATGTTATAGCATGTATCAATACTTTATAATTTTTCATGAATGAAAAATTCAGTTGTATGATGGACCACAGTTTGTTGATCCACTATCACTTGACAGGCATTGAGTCGTTTCCATCTTTGGAATATTATATAAGTAAATAATGCTGCTGCAAGCATTCATGTACAGGTTTTGTATGAACATATACAAGGAGTTTGAAACAGTCCATGGAAATATAGAATTGAAAATAATTTTTTTCCCGTGAACTTTTTGAAGCTCCGTCGTATTTGTAGCTCACTTGGATATTTTAAAATTCAAATAGCAGTACTATAGTACCATCATCAGAACCTAACTTCAGGGAGGATAATGATCAGGATCAGCCCAAAGGTGATTTCCAAGAGATGAAAGTTAGCCACACCACCACTCATCAATTCTTTTACTAATTCTGTCTGATACCACCATCTTTCCCATGGCACCCTCTACTTCTTGGCTGGGTTCAATATGTTGCTTCAGCCCCCTGAGGACACATTCCTCTTGGTGTTGCTGTATGGCGTTAATGACTCTCCCGCTGAGCCCATTCTGGACTTGTTGACCCATGTTAACAATTTTTAGAAGGTTCCTTGCCTACTTTCTCTTTGCTTCTGCTATCTTTTTGCCTTTTTCGCTTCTTTCTGTCTGAAAAAAACCTCAGTGGTGCTGGCTGCTAATATATATATACACATATATACATACACAAACTCCTCATAAATTTCAAGGTATGGCCTTCCCATGAAAGAGCTAATGGATTCCCATTTGGTGGACCAAAGATACTTCATTTGCATTAGAGGCTCTAGTCACTTCATTTGCATAGTTTATAGTCACTTCATTTGCATAGTTTACAGAAAAGTGCCTGCCATGCACAAGGTAAATTGCATTGCAGAACCACACAAAAAGTATCAAACTACATCCAGTGGATACAGCTGAGAAGTGTAATGATTGAAGAACTGTGTGCTGAGTTGTTCCTGAACAACTTCCCTAATAGCACAGTGGCTCCAAAAGATAAGCCCGGGAGTCCTGGTGAGGAAGAGAAAAATGAGGCTTTCTTCTCCTACACAAGGTTTAAAGCCTCAGCAACTCAGGTTCGTTTTGAGTTGAAACTACACAGCACTTAACTACAACAACTTCCCTAATAAGCCCCATAATCATGAGTATTGTCTGTGAGTTCTTTGTGGCCCTTGTAACAAATTATTGAATCCAGGAGAGAAGTAATATCATGAGCAGGATTGTTACTGTCAAAATTGATACAATTTTTAGAGGGTGGAGTCATGTTTGACCTCTGCCTCAAGGCACAGGTCGGGCTCAGCCTTGGACAGCTGACGCAGATAATTTTGATTCTTTTCCCTACTTGTGAAGTTAGAGGGAGCCAGGTGCTGCCCATGACATTTGTACAACTTGTTTTTGTCAATCTGATTTATTATAGCAATTCTGTTGTTGTTGTTAGTACTGTGGAGTTGATTCCTACTCATAGTAACCCTGTGTAGGGTTTCTGAGAAATGGCTAATGGACTCGAACCCCCGACCTTGTGGTTAGCAGTGCAGTGCTTATCCTACAGCACCACACCAGAACTCCTAGTATGTGTTAAATGATATTTCATTACGGTATTTCATTTTAATATGCATTTCCCTAATGACCAGTGATGGGAGTCCTGGTGTGGAGCTGT